GGAGGCATGAGGCAAATAGGGAGAGAGAGAGAGAGCAAAAGCCGAACAAAACCAAATTGTCCCAGGAAGAAGACGTACATTTAAGGGAACGTGGTAAGGCGACGGCTTGGAGGATTCTGGAGATGCCTTTGGCTGGCTATCGGTAGATAGCTGGCCACTAGAGTCGTTGTTGGCCGCCTGGCTAGAGGAGACATGAAACTGCGCAGAGGTGAGATCTTGGCCAGTCATGTGCCGGTAAAAGAGGCCCTCCAAATTACCAAAGTGGGCCCTGTAGGGATAAAAGTGGGAGTTGAGTTGTGCAGGGTAACCGAAATGGCGAACAATTTGACATGGACATAGACAGAACTTGACCTATGTGCATTGAATACGTACAGACTAACCAGGTAGGTCTACTTCGATCTAAACTACTATTAGGAGAAGGTAAGAATGAAGGAGAGCTGAGCGTGTGGTCTTACATGTCGTAAAGTTTATCCTCCGGTCTGAGGGTGTACTGAAAGATGTCTCGAATAGAGCAAAACGACCACGGGTAGGGGTGGATGGATTGGAGTTTCTGCAAGTCAGTACCGAGAATCGTCGAGGGTCGTCCGCTGCCGGTGTCCTTAACGCTAGAATAGGGGAGAAACGGTGAAGAGGGGAACTGAACTCGAAGTCGATTATTTGAAGTTATTTAATCACTTATACCTTGTGAGATAAAATATGTTGACGGGGAGGATATAGAAGGAGGCAAAAAAGGATGGAGGAGATGAAAAGGGGGAGGTAGAACAGGAGAATGAGAAGAAGAATGAGGAGGAGGAGGAAGAAGAGGAAGAGAAAAATAAGAAGAAGAAGAAGAAGAAGAAAAGTTGAAGGAGGAAAGGAGGAGAATAATAAGAGGAAGAAGAAGAAAAAGAAAAGGGAAAATACGAAGAAGAAGAAGAAGACGAGGAAAAATTAAAAGAAGAATAGGAAAAAGAAGATAAAAACGAAAAAAGAGTATGAAGAAGTAGAAGATAGGGAAGAAGAAGAAGACGAAGAAGAAGAAGAAGAAGAAGAAGAAGAAGAAGAAG